CTATGGATTCTGAACAATTTGGTTTATTTAGTGTGTTGAAATTGGAATAGAGAGACAAAATCGTACCTTCTGCTAATGCCCTCGATTTGAGCAGCTCTCAGAGCATCTTGAGGTGCTAAACTTCCATTATCCCAAGCCTCCATGCGTTGTGTATTGCCTCCAAAAAGAACCACTTTCTCCAAAAATCTAACCTCACCCTCTGCCAATTGTACCTTTATCTGTTCCTTCAGGACCATTATAGGATTAAAGAACCAGTCCAACAATTTATCATGCGGTCTATTGAAATGATTAATTTCAACATCATCCAATAACAGTAAACCAGATGAATTTGATCTGATGGAGCAGAGAAGAGTCTGCAAGCATGAATAACAAGGCAAACCGACACCGATAATAGATCCATCATTACTATTCTTTGCTTTCATCCATTCTTCGAGATCGGTTGGGGTTATTACATTAGCATCCAACAGTTGCTTACCCCTCAGTTGGCAGGACCTCATCATATTTTCCCATATCTGTTGCATACCGAGTAAAACACAAGAAAATTTCTCATCATGAATCAAAACAAGTGAGAGAGTTAATTAACAGAGAATTCGGAAGAAAGTCAACATAGCAAAAGATTATGCATCTGCGTACATTTCTTTTCATATTTCTAGGCAGTTCACTAATTTGTGTTCAATAATCTTAAAAAAAAGAAGGGGTATGTGCATGTATTTTAACTCTCTTAACCCCCCAACATATTAGTATTTGTGTGGTCCCTTTTGATTTTAGTTTATTGCCTTGTGTGGCTCTATTGGCACCCAAGTTTGTTCTCTAGGCAGGGCATATTTTGCTTTTGTTCAATATAAAGACTGAAAGAAAGAGCCTTCCTGCCCTTCCTAGCCCTGCTCCCCCACCCCCTCTATAGGGTAAAATAGAAATTTTACTACACTTTTTGGAAGATTAAGTTTTTGTGTACTAGCAGAATCACTGATTGCGTTGTCATTCATATCTCCCAAAAAGTTTTAGTGCATGGCACATAGATTTCATATATTGACCATGGTCACTAAAAGATCGCATGGGTAGTTGGGGGATATATTTTCTTAAAAGAAAATGAAGCAAAACAAATTCATTTGCAGAGAACTATTGGTCAGAGATTGGTTTCAATACTCTAGAAAAGATACTGAATCAAAGTGTTCAGGCTCACAGTTAGTACTTGGTGAAAAAAGGGGAAGAAAAAACCACTTCTGCCTCAAAACCTAAAAGCATACCTGTACCATTTTCACTTCTTGTATTACGGCTCTAACCGATCTTGAATGGGCTATAGTTGGCATAAGCATTGCAGGTGCTTCCATAGATGCAGGACTGAATTTGCCTCCAGCCACCTGATTTCCTCGCACAGAAAGCTCGGATGATTGAGAGACAGTTCTTTTTCGATATTTGGGCCTGGCTGCGCATAATGAGAACACAACTGCTAAACATTTACAAGCAAAAGAACAAAATGTAGCTGCAGATTGCTTAATAAGCTCAAGAACAAAATTTTATAAGCAGGAAAGTGATTAACTTTGGGAAGATAGTTCCTTCTCGAAGATACAGCCAGTCATTTGTGTATTCATCAAATTCAGCCACCATTGCAATCACATAGGCCACACCTTTCCTGAAAGATCTTTCCTATATCCACAAATGGTTAAAGGACATATAATTTCAGTGATCATCAAGGGCCAAGGAGATAAAGATAGACTCAGATTATTATAATCCGGTATGAGCAAACCTGATATACGATAACTGGTGCATACAATGCAATAAAAATGCTTGAGAAAACTGCCAATACGATGCTAGCAACAACCACAATTGGCCACAGAAGGATCGTCAAACCAGCAATAGGGATGCAAGCTAGTTCAAGAAATGGACCTTCTCGGCTAATTAGATCATGAATCAGCCGATACCAGCCCTTAAACAGCATATATGGACTCTTTACAACAGCAATTGCAGTGTAAACAGGAATCTCCACCATTAGGCCCAATACACCGGCTATAATGCAGGCCGGAATGTGAATCAACCTACAAGATGTCTCCAGAAGAGAAATGAGTTTAGAATAAAATGGTTATTTGAGGCATTGCAATATCTACTGCCACATATTTGGATGACTAAAAGGAAACTTTTTGGTGTCGGATTATAACACGATTACCTTAGAGGTTGAACTTCCTCTGAAGCGGGGGATTCGCGCAACTCCTTCAAATAGATTGAGTATGAGTGGTAACATAGGTCTGCAAAGTCTCTAACTACAGTACAGCTTCCTTTAACAGTACCCCAAGTTCCATCCTAAACGTTCACAAGTGAAACAGAATGAGCAGTGCAAATCAGATACTAAATCAGACAGATAATTCAAACAGCTTTAAGATTACCACAATACAATGTTTGAATTTCTTGAACTCATTGTCATGCCTAAAGGCTTCAAATGTAGCGACCCAGGGAGTGAAGAATCCATAGCCCACTCCCCCAAGAACACTCCCAGCTATGCTCAAACCCAACCATATAGCCAATAGGCCAGGCAAAGCAAACAAAATGGCAACTTTAAGCGGTGCGTCAAATCTATCAATCCTGCAATTGCCAAACATTTGGAATAAAAACATAGTAAATCTCTGCAAACTGAGATATTTGTTGAAAATTTTGAAAAGGGTAGTTCCAAAGATACCAACTTTATAAGAGTGTAGATTGTCCAGGCAACATGCGCAGGAAACAAGCCCAAAATTATCCCCACATTCCCTAAAATCAGTATTAGAGCAGAAATAGGACCCACAAGCAGTCCTGCAACATCGAACAAAATCCAATGAAAATCCCAATTAAATTTTCAGCAGACACCATGCAAAAGTTGAAAACAAACCATTCTACAGTCCATGAATCAGAGCCAAAAAGAAATGAAAAAAAAGATAACTTTTTTTCTATGAAGAAAACAAAGGACATACCTTTAAGAGCACCCAGACAGAGGGCAGAGCCGAATGCAAATACCACATAGAAAACCTTCAAACAACCGCTGAAAGATTGTGTAAAATCCGTACTAAAAAACGACCACAGGGACAGGAACAGCGCCATTGCAGAGATTTTAACCGAAATTTGAATACCACCTTTCGAATTCGATTATGAATTTAGTCCCCGGTTGACAGCTGTTGCACGCATCCATGAAGAAAAGGATGAATGAATATATATTTATTTTTAATTGTTATTACCAAAAGATTAGAGAGAGAGAGAGCGATAGATGAGATGTGTGCTGCAGGAAGATGACAAAGAATAAGAACAAAGAGTACAAGGAAAACCCAAGATCCAACCAAAATCAATAACCCCAGAAAGTTAGGAACCAAAGGGAACTATTCAAATTAAAGATGCAAAGAGACAGAGAGTTATGGAACCAACTAGTTTTTGGTTTTGTTGGTTTACTGGCCACTCTCTGATGAATCCATCAACACGCATAAGCCCAAAAACCAAAAAGAACCAATTCTTTGTATATGCAATCATGCAAAATCAAATATGCCCTTGGATGTACGTAGATTTTCTGTTGTGCAGCATCGACGTGTCACTGACCACTCTCATGCTGCACCAAGTTCTCACTGGATTACCAAAATGCATCAACCTTTATGTCACACAATACATTAATAATTAGTAAGAAAGATTACCCTTGACATAATTATTATGTTTGTTTATAATCTTATATTATTGCTGGGTAGCTTGGTTTATGAGGATCTATGACATCTTCTGCTTAATACAAAAATAATTAGCAAATAATAATTAAATATATGCGTATGTTTTCTTTTTAGTTTGTACACAATGTTTTTTACATGAACAAAGCACAAAGCGAAAAGCCATTTGATGTTGTTTTCTTCCCCTCCCTAGATAAGTAGTTTAACATCAATTCGATGATTACGTTATTTCACTCTGTACTATAATAATATATGGCAACCTTTTCAAAAGGGAGTCAATTTCTTGGGGAAGACATATCCAAATTGTTGTGACATATGTTGACCAACGAACTAAATCTTTTTTATTTTATTTTATTTTATGTGAGATAATTAACACACGGGTTGTGATTAAGTGTTTAAGGAAAAGCAAGGGACCCACTAGTGTAGTAGTTTAGAGCAATTGCTCCCTCAAGAAAGATCTTGAAGTCTTAGCATTCGTGTATTGTGTGTACAAGTTTAGTATACTCTCACCCCTCTCAATAGAAAACATTCTTTAAAAAAAAAAAAAGGGGAAAATACTTCATTCATCTATTTATTTTTTTACGAAAATAGATAACTACCTTTGGAACATAATACTGGAAGCGAAAATACAATAAAGTACATACCTTGATGATTATCTTTAAAATAGATTGATACGTAGGCGCATCGTCAATGTAGAGGAAATAAATTTCTCCTTCTTGGTTTTTTTTAAAAATAAATAAGTATATGCACTTTTTTTTATACAAGCAATATTAGGGAGAGAGAAATCGAACCTAAGACATCGAATACAAGAATAAATGCTTTTAACTACTTGAACTACAAACTCCTACTTGAACTACAAACTCCTTGCAAGTATGTACCTTTATATAGAGAGAGATGACTTGTATCCTACTAACCCTAATTCTTTAATTACCACATATCACATAATAGAAATGGAAATTACTTCGATTGCTTTGATTAATAGGATTCTTCATATAATATTTATACCTATTTTGGTCATATCATATAGGCACACAAAATACTATTAAAATACTTACCCATACAAATGGCTGCCCCTTCAGGACATGTCTAAGCCCCACAAGATGGTCCATTGACAAAACGTCGTCGTTAAAGTCAGGGATAATAGTGCGCGGGCTTCGGCGCGCAAAGGGACGGGGGGGCACGTGTCGGTCAGGAAGAGGACCAGTTGTTCAGTTTTCTGTTGATTTGATATGAACAGAAGAAGAAGAGACACAGCTCAATCCATGAAGCCAGAGCTTTAGCTCCCTAACAAAAAGGAATGGTGAAGAAGAATGGGTCACTTTAGTATGGTCTTTGTTTCAACAGTTGTAAACGGTCGTTTTGGAGTTTAGGCAAACGATCACAGCAACAACAAAATGTAAAAAACCCAAAAAATCAGAAGAAATAAAAGAAGAGAGAGAGAGAGAGAGAGAGAGAAACCCCAAGGAAAGAAGGAGGCATGAAGCCAGGCCAGCCGTATGATATCTGGCTTTGTCTCTCCCTCTTTTGTCGGGCATAGACAGAAAGACAGACAGAGACACCTGTGCCTGTGGTCCTGTGGTTTGTTCAAACCTGAAATCACAGACATTAACGCTAACATAAAGCGTGCAATTCAATCATGGGTCGGAATGTTGGGAAGAAAGAGACCCAATTGCACCAGGGAAAGGAGGAGAAGCCGCCTCAAACGCAGTCGTCTAAGGAGGAGGGACACCTGACTCCGGCTCAATTGTCCAAGCCCAGGCCCAGGCCCAAACCCAACACCAACCCAAAACCTTCTCCTCTCAATCCGGTCTGCTCCTGACCTCGCTCTGTCTCTGTCTCTGTGGTTATCTTAGAATGTTTACATGGTTTTTTATTATTTATTTTTCAATGTAATTGATGTGGGTTTTTTGTGCATTATGGAATAGGCAAAGCTGAAGAAGCCAAACAAGCCAAACAAGCCAAACGAGAAAGAAGTAGAGCATTCCATGCCCATGAAGGAGCTTTCCAATACCCAAATTAAGAATGTATGGCTCCCCTTTCATTTTTTGAAACCTAAATTAAACATTTGGATCAATTTCCATTGTGTTCATATAATTGTGGATCAATGCGTGATTTAGCACAATGAAAAATCGTTTCTTTTTTATGCTTCACCTCCTTTTTTTTTTTTTTGGTCATACAATGTACTTCCATGCTAACATATAGAGGCTTTGATTGATCAAAATTCTTATTTGAGTAAGATAAGTTCATAGGAGTACTGGTTAGAAGCCATCGTTGTTATGGATTAGCAAAAAGGGTGCAATGTATTTAGGTTATATGTTTCTTCTTATTGTGTTTTTAATCAAACTTCTTATTGTGTGTTTCACTGGCTTGACTTGCCAGCTCTAGTTCTGTATAAAGAAAATGTTTGTATGGATGGTATGGGACTGTTCCTTATGAATTGGATTGCGGGAATTGATGAAATTTTTTAACAAATGTTTGAACGGCAGATGTTGGGTCAAGCAGGGAAGTCCCCGGCCCTTAGGTCAGTGAAGCATCTTGTATGGCCTTTGTGTACTTTGGCCCTCTTTGTTTGCCTTTTGTATATGCGCTTCATGATAATGTTGTCTCTGTGCTTTCTTTAAAGCAATACGCAGTATGAGTTTCCAGTTGATGGTTCACCCTCACGAGGTCAAGCAAAGTCATCTGCTGTCATTCAAGCACAGGAAGTTCGATCAAAACTAGAGCCTCAATTTCCTAGCTTCGTGAAATCTCTGGTCAGATCACACGTTGCTAGTTGTTTTTGGATGGTAAGTACTGTTAAAGTAGATGACTGTGGGAACATTATTTATAATAGTAGTGGTATATAAATAAATACCCCTTCTCTTTGCGCCCCCTATTTTTTTTTTTTTTATGTATTCTGTGTAATAGGGGCTTCCTTCGCTGTTCTGCAAATCACACTTACCAGATAAAGATATTACAATGACTTTGGAAGATGAAAGTGGTAAACAGTATCAGTTGAAATACATTGCATACAAGACAGGACTCAGTGCTGGTTGGAGACAGTTTGCTGCTTCGCACAACTTGATTGAAGGAGATGTTCTTGTCTTCCAATTAGTTGAACCTACCAAATTTAAGGTAATGGTTTGAAACTTTATACCCAAAATCAGAAGAAAAGTGTAGGCTGCATTGTACTAGTTAGGAACAGTTGTACGATGGCACAAATAAAACCCTACAACAATCGTGCATTGTCAATGGGTGTAACCTGGTCCAAAACTTCTCACCTAGTCATTACGTATTCACAATTAACCTTTGCAGCTTGATATGACCCTGTTGTCTGGAAGATGAAAATTCTTTTCCTTAAGGAGTGTTAGTCCTATAAATACTCTTCTTTATCTGCTCCCGAACAAACAAGAGAACTGAGTGCATGACTAACATGGTCTGTCTTCTGATTCAGTTGCTACCATTGACTAGGCCCAAGACTAGTGCAATGTTTGTATTCTGCCTTGCCATGTCAGTGAAATTCTGAAGGAGTTGGTGCAACATTCCCTTGTCAATTTTTTCCATGTTGTTTACTTTCTATTTCTGTTGAATTGTGATGGAGAATGAAGCATCACAAAAGGGGTTCAGATAGATCAAGTTTTTGTATGCTTTTGCTCTTGTGCACGTCTGAAAGTTTACTATCTATAATTGTATCTTCCTCCATCTTGTAGGTTTACATAATAAGGTCAAATGATTTGACTGAAGTTGATGGGTCTCTTGGGCTTCTAAATTTGGATAGTCATACAAAACGAAAGGATGCAGGCAAGTTCATTGATGTCTCTGTCTGTTTCTTCCCAGTATCATGCATTTGTAGTTTAATTTGTACTTTTATTGACGTGTCTTATCTTTTTTCTTGGATGTTGCACTCAGATAAAGATAATGCAGAAACGGGCACTGTGGCTTGTAATGACGCTACCAGGAAACGTGCACACTCTCCTCCTTCAGAAACGCAAAAGAAGAAAAAGATTGGTTTGCAGCCGGTTGAACAATCTGAAGATGATAGTGAGGAGGTTGATTCGGAAGTTTTGGAAGAATCGAAGTCACCAGACACAGCTCTTCATTTTGAAGACATCCAAAGTTTTGAGAACTTCAGCATTCTAGTAAATGGGTTGCTTGTAGATTCCGAGCTCCCCAAAGATGTAAGAAGAAAGTACTACAAGCTCTGCTGCAGCCAGAATGCATTTCTTCACGAAAACGTTGTCGATGGCATGAATCATAAATTGGTTGTAGGTGCTATATCTGAAACCGTAAATATTGCTGATGCCATCAAAGCTTGCAAACTTACTACGACTCGGGATGATTTTGTGTCTTGGGACAAATATTTAAAGGCCTTTGAGTTGTTGGGGATGAATGTTGGATTTTTACGTGATCGGCTATGCCGGCTTGCAAACCTTTCCAACGACTCTGGAGCTGCTGTGGAGGCAAGGCTGTATAAAGAAGCTAAAATTGAACGATCACAAGCAGGAATAGGAATAAGAAATATTGAGGTAAAGCTTGAGGAATTGAGGGATGTGTGTGATGAATTTGGTGCTGCCATTGAGAGTCTGAGATCAAAAGCTGAGGTCTACACGATCAAATTCCATGAAGAGGTTACTGCTCCATGGTAACAATGTTATTGAAAAGTATAACATCCTCTTCTTTTTGGGGTTTTGGTTTCTTTCTTTTTTCCCCCCTGGTTTAAACGCGTCTCGAGCACTAACTTGTAGTCTATAATCTGTAACCCAAAAGATGGCTAATTGGGCTTTGTGTGGGTGTGGAAACGATTAGCAAGTAGTAAGTTGAGAGGCTTTGTGAACAGAAGCTCTATGAGTGCAGATTACGTAAAATCAATAGGCCATGACTTAAATAGTTCTTCTCTGGAGATGACATTCGTTCTTTATTAAAGAATAAATTGTCGATATGATATATCTTAGGACATACATGTGATCAATACAAAATCCGTCATTCATTTAACAAAAGACGGACATCCCGCACAGAGAATTTTTTATGACTTGTGCTCATCTCGTAATTCTAGTTACAAAAGAGGAGGTTGCCCTACCTCAATGAATTTCCATGACCAAATATTATTATAGAGAGGCCATGACTTTGGGCCTGGTGTGATGAGAGTAACCAGCTGACTAGAACTTCAGACAAGGACCATGCTGGCACTGAGGTAACAGATCTGCATCTTTGACTTTAGGTTTGGGATAACTAACTGCAATTAACCAATAATCATTATTAATAAAAAAGTAAACAATCAATATAAAATGTTGCAGCTGTTGCTGTTGTGTGGAGGGAGATTCTGTTTCCATCAGAGTCCAGCAGAACAGAATTGTGGCAGTGAAAATCAGTAATTCACTGCTATTGAGGGAAAGAGCCAAGGAGGGTTTTCTGGTTGGTTGCATATGCTTTAATGCCTCCACTCACAGTCCTCTGTAGTGGGATGGGATCTTTTAGATTTTGACCATCAATCTTTGAAACCCTGTTCTTATTTTGACCAACTGCATGTTGGCCACTCTTTTGGCCGTGCCTTCGCATGTGGCACAGATCTAGCCTGCGTCTGCTAGACAATTCATAAAAGATTGAACAACAGCCTTGTCTTGGCTGTCACATTTATAGTAGCCTGCCTGTTGCACCATATGCACTGCACTTAACCCCTTAACCCTCATTCATCTGTAAGGAGTTTGTAGCTCTAAGTAATTGAAGAGCATTTATCCCACAAGTAATTGAAGAGCATTTATCCCAGCACTCGTTCGATTTCCCCTTCGTTCAATATCGCTTGTACCAGACAAACAAAACTAAAAACAAAACCCTCACTCATCCAAGACTTAAAACTTCTCTTCTTGCTGTCCAACCTAGTTCTGTATCAGACAGATTACCCCTATTTCATGCACTAATTATTTAGTATGCTTGGTAACAACATTTTTATTAGCTAATCTGCTGATGTAAAATGTATCAGATTGATACAGGAAGTTTTGTTGGCTAAAGAGCCTAAGACAATTATCAACTATGACCAAGTTCTGATATATCTTCAATACTTGATGTTTAAGTCTCTTTCTCTCTCTGGGCAAAAGAATGCTAAACATGAAGAGTAGATGCAACTGAATAAAAATTCAGAAGCTGAATAGATCCAATTGAAACCCATAATTAATGACTTTGGTAGGAAGAAAAATTATGATCTAATGATACACATCAATGCTCAAGAAGGTGTTTGGGGTACCCCAAAAATAAGAGCTTGACATTGCAACAGGTTCTTCAACTGCAAACATTTTGTACAGTGAACAGCCAAAAGACTAAATTCCGATCCACAAACTAAAAATAAATAAGAACCAGAGAGAGAGACACTCTGAAACAAAATACACCAGAAAATATATAGAGAGGCTAATTTGATTAACCGGCTACTAACAGAAGTCAGAACCTCTATGTTTAACCAAAAACCAGCAGTAAAAATACAAGAATAATAATAATCATCCTCCTTTTTCTGAAGCCTCCAAAAGGAAAAAAGAAAAAAGTACTTCCCACACCTCTACAATTTCATCACCACACCCCCCTAAAACAATGCCTCTATATTCCAATCTCCACATCTCTCCAACTTGACCCTCCTTCATTCAAGACCTCCTGCAACAACAACCAGAACACCATGTCATCATACAAACTCCAAATCCATGCCTACATACATAGAAACTTCAAATGGGGTCAATTAATTAAATTAAATTAAATTTTCTCACCTGTGAAGTCTGATTATTAACATGATGTTGGGGTTCCTCATGCACCACCACAAGACCAGAACTCCTACCATCCACAGACCCATCATTCTTGTGAGCTTTCTTGGAGCCAATGTGGGCCCTCTTCCTGCCCAGAAGCCCCTTCCATCTTGTTGATGATGATGACCCCTTTGGTGGCCTGGATGACACTTCATCATCATGATCCTCCCCATGAAGAAGCTCATCTCTGAGAGTGGTAGTGCTCCTCTGCATCTGTTTGCTGCTGCTGCTGGTGGTGCAGCTGTCCTTGAAAGGCAGCAACCTTCCCTTACAGAAGAGCTCATCAGCGCTCATCATGGAATAGTTGGTCACTGAGAACTCAAAATCTGAGGAAACTGGAGCTTCTCTGGAGCTCCTTTCATGCTTGATGGCATGTTGGGCATCTGCAAAATCATTAGAGAAGGAGATTCTTGGGCTCATTGGAGCAAATGGATGGTGACCACCATGACCCTTATGCTCTGAGTTGTACATGTCTAAGCAGGCCATGAGATTTCAAAACAACATGGGAGAAAGATTGAAAGGATAAAAAGAATGTGACCCTATTGATATTATGAGCAGAGCAGAGGAATTCACATACCCACCATGTATATGTGTGTATTTATATCTCAGACTGGTGATCTTTTATGCACTCATAAATTTGTAATTTGTAAATTTATTTTTATGCATGCATGCCTGATGTGATGTTTTTGTCATGACATGATAAATTGGGCATTGAATGGTGACCAATTAAATCTTTGAGAGATACAGTCTCCAATGTTTCACTGCTTTCCTTGGATGTTGGGTGAAGTTGCCAAGAAGCACTCTTTCCTTGCTTTTTATTCCAGTTGGGTAAAAGAAGAAGCTCTCTAACCAATCCACCCCTAGTTGCATTCTTAATTATGATCAAATACAGTGGATATATATTTTATACATATATATATTTATATATAACTTTCAAGAAGATTCTAAGAAATTATTGTTTGGGTTAAAGAGGCATTTTAAAAATAACTCATTTTATTATATGAGTTGCTTGCACAACATCAAATGTACCAAGCATGTACAAATAGTACAAAGCTCTGAAGGTCATTGATTTGGTGAAAGAAAGAAGAAGATTATAATAGTAAATTAATAATTATGATGAGTCATCTTGTTCAGGAAATCATTACTTAATTCACAAATTTTCAGACAGAAACAAAACAACACAAAAATCAAATTGCATATCTTTTTCTTGATTCAGGCTGATAGAATCAGGGGTTTTCACAAGAAGGGTATGCAGCAGTGATATTGAAAAGCATGCAGGCAGGTTTTTGCCAAGATAACAAAAATGTGAAAAAATTTCAGAACCAGAAAAAAGTGAGAAAAGAAAAAAACTGGGGCCATGAAAGATGAGGAACAGCATGGGATGAGAGGACAGTGCATAAATGTCCAAATTGATAGATGCTTGGGGTACTTATAAACTTGGGGCCAGCCAGAGTTACTGGGACAGTTTACAGTTTGATCCCATTGCTGGATAGAAAGCAACAGCAGCAATGTTTTTCAAATTAAAAATACAAAAAAAAGATGGGTTTTTCTTTTTCTATTTGTGGTAAATTAAATATTAAAGAGGTAAAAGAAAAAAGCTTTAAATGTATAGAGGAAATGCAATGCAGCAATGGCAAGGTTTGGGGCACACAGTCACAGTGACACAGAGGGGCACAGTGGCTAGCAGAGGCTCCAGAGGGTCATATGGTTGACCGAGATTTGACTGCTAAGTAGAGTTATGCAGTGAATGAGCTGGCGATATCGACTGGTCAAAAGGGACCACGTGACCAGAGGGTTGCCGTTGCCCTTTTCATTAAATAAATAAATTACACATAATAAATTAAAATTAGAAAATTGCATAAGAATAGGAGGATTTGCTAATTTGGGCACCCCAAGAGATGAGTGGTCAGTATGTAATGTATGAGGCATGGGTTATTTGTTTATGTATTTCCAAAACCCTAGTGCCATTTGCGTTAGGGTTACTTGTACAGTGGAAGAGATCACGTGAGCACGTGCAGAGCTAATTTCCTTCCTAAGATAGAGCCTGGTGATGGTCTAGTTTTGCTGTTTGCCACTGACACAGTTGCACCATTTCTTCCTTGAGAACGTTTGGGTTTTGGCGAGGGAGGGTTTTGGTGCATCATATTATTATAAAGAGGTTTGCCAATATGCCATTGCCAACCAGTTGAAATATGGTATTAAAATAAAACATTTTATCAACACAAACTATTACGGTTTGATTTGATTTTAAAACGTTTGATTTTTTTCTTGGTTAAAACGAAACTAAATCGACTCTTACGATTCATATCGATTAATTTGTTCAAATTGATACCTTAAACATTTTACACTTGTTAGTGGGTCGGGTTGTCACCTTGCCTTATTCGCTTATTCATATGCTTGAGCAAGATGTAAACATCGTGTTGATGATTAAAACTTTATTGTCATCGCGTAAAACATGATATGTTGACTGAGTTTTATTTAATATTTGATAACTAATGCGAGTGATCATCAACCAACTTGTATCTTTGATTTGGAAGATACGGATATTGGGAATCTAATTAAATCTCACATATTAGTTGGCAAAGCTCGTTGCAAACTAAGTTCTTAATATAATTAATTAGCCAGAACAAGAAATACTAGACTTTTATTTCATTCACTCCAATGGCTTTCAAGAATGAATAATACAAAGGGATCTTGTCATTTTGGATATCGTACACGTCAATGATTTTCCTGCCATTGGTAGGTCTACCATGAGCATGCGTACAATCCCTGTATATGCACAAAACCAATATATAATTATTCTATGTGATAATGAGTAAACTTAAGTTTTGTAAGAAGATTATAGATTTTAAAATGGAAAATACTTAGGAACTCCTACGTTTCTACTAATGACAATTTGACATGTGTGTAGAAGTTTTTCCTTTTGTTTTATTATGAATTATTTATGCACATGTTTCAAACCGTGATTTACAAGGAGGTGAGCAGTATTCTTTTAAAATAGGATATAGATCTTCTACTTTGTCTTTATTTTATTTTATTTTAAGCCAAACTAAGGAAACAAAGAGAGATTTAGAGGGCAAAATAAAGTAATGTTTTATGATAAATATCTGTTATAATACACTTTTTTTTTCTAACAAAAGAGAATCCTTATTTTTTTATATTTATAAATATGAACATAATTTGTATGTATACAATTATTCAAAGGATAACTATTGGGAAGAAGAAAGAGGCCAAGAGAGGAGAAATGGAAGCCTTTGAGAACTCAACTTGCAGGCTAAGGACATTGCTGTCGCTCACATGGTTTAACCTTTTCTTCTGGTGCCATGACAATAAACAAAACACTTTTCTTCTTCTTCCTAATGGGACATTCAAAGGGGGAAATGACACGTGGTGGGTTCCTATAAGCACGTGCCTTCGAGTGTGGACAAAAAACCCAAACACAAAAGTTTGATCGTGCAAGGCCCCTTCTCCTGAGCCTGAGCCTGAGCCTGAGGTAACTGTCCGTACCAGTTTGGTCCCCCCACCAGGCCATTGCCCATTAGGCCATACTTGGATTTGCTCTAGCAACTTTAGCATTAGCAAGAACTTGGATCATATGGGCTTCTAATACGAACTAAACTTGCTTTAGGTCTAGTGTTGGGCTGAAGCCGGTTGATAAGTCCGTTTATTCACACATACACACCATATATGTCGATATGTCTTTTAGTTTATCCACCGATTCACGGTAGAGTCAATCTTAAGATATTTGATGAAATACTTCTTAGGTGGTTCAAAAGTAAAGGAGAATACTAAAGTTGTGAGGTACCCCAGGCTGATATTGTGAGGCATCGATTGTGATAAACTCGTTTTGCCACCATACGCGATTCCCTTCTTTATGTGATGGTTCTTTAGTTACATTGCATACATTAGATGGGATATAATCTAGGCACTTTCTTCAGCATTTGTGTATGAGTTTATTAGCATACATGGGATACATGGGACTATGCCTTTTACTCTATAGGTTCTATCATTAACTTGCTGCCATCCGAGCTTTTGGTTTGTTCTCTTCCTAGATTGAATCATCACATAGCGACCAAATTTGTTTATGTTTCCCCCAAGATTTACTCCCGTCCTCTTATTTCTATTTTTTTGTCCTATTTCTCACGTGCTTGTTGTCATATACTTGGAAAAATATTAAATAAATTATAATGATAAGTACCAAAAAAGCAACAATAATATTAATAATCTTCTCCTTTTTGTTGTCTAAGAAAAGAAATACTAGAAGACAACAAAAGAAAATCATTATGAACTCTCTTCCTTTCAGTACATACAAGGATTAGAGACATCAACTTGTACAGGCACAGGGCACAGGGCACAGGGCACATGTGTTTTGGGTCGACCACACCATGCATGATCACCAACAATTATTTTCAAGAATCTTCATGCCCAAACGCTGCTGTGCATAGCTCACCAGCTTTTCAAACTCTTTGGGGTTGTCTATTTGGCCACTCTTATTGCCATCTGCTTGCTTCATTCCTTGACGAGCCCTCCACCATCCAAACCAAACCCTCAGGCTGTGAAGAGCTTCTTTCAGCTCTTCGCGGCTAATTTGCCCGTTGTGATCGCTGTCAAACCGGCAAAGCCACGCTTTGAACTCATCCACTGTCATCTCCTGGTCGGGATGCACCTGCAAACAACTTATTATGGCCATCAATGAATTTTTCTCTAAGCAGATAAAAATCTCTTCAAAGAAGATAGAAAATGGAAATGTAGCTAGATGGGCAAGCTTTGTTTGCTTCTCTTCTGTTCTCGGTACAAGTATACACGACTCTTAAAGTGGCTTTAAAGTGGATTTTACTAGTGGAGAATCGAATTCATTTTGCAATTAATTAGTGGATTTTCTTTTGGCATCTTTTAGCACAATCGCTAATACTTCTTTACGGCCATGTGTAAACTTTATTCTTCCAATTAGGCATGGGAACAACAATGTTATAAGTGTAATTATATAAAATTCTAGGCATATGTGACAGCTGTTTAATTTTCTTAAAAGGGTTATATATTAAACCTCCATGGCCTATTGGGTCAGTGCCATCTGTAATTATTAGTTTTAGATTGGACTTCAATTGAAAAGTGTTTGATCTTGTCCAAACAGATGAGAATCTTCATTCAAGAGCCATCCATACTTGTCTGCAAACTGTGCGCATCTAATCTTGTCATCCTGTATTGGATTTGTATCAATATCAGCTCGTCTACTTCAACTCTTTCATTTCTTCATTTCAGTTATGTTTCAAATTTTAGTCGGTGTTTACTTTCAATTTTATCATATATGTATCAAACTATTGACAATATTCATCCCCTTTAGATTGATTTAGTCATGAGCTGATCAGTCCAATTTTGGACTTGAAGGCTAGCAAGTGCTAGCTCCAAAACATAATGGATGTCATTATTTTACTGTTTGTAAAGTTAAAAGCAAAGGCAGACAGCATATTATTCTTATTTAAGAACATGGGCAGACAACCCTTACAGGTATTATTATAAGCAAGACTAAATATATGGCTATAACATAGGATATGAGATCTAAAATTTATATAAATGATCTCTTAAGCAGTTGGTTTCTTGAAGTTCCCCATCATTTGGGAAAACTCATTCATGTCAATTAAACCATCACCATTAGTATCCACTCCTTTCACCATGTTCCTGCAAGCCCCAAGACTGCAATTCTCTCCTAGCTTCTTCAGCACCAGAGACAACTCCTCTGCACTTATCTTCCCATTGCCATCCAGATCAAACAATCGAAACGCGCTTTCGATGTCAGCCTCTCGTGCCTGATCAGCTCCCATGTTGAACATCTCCACAAACTCCTTGAACCCTATGAACCCATCTCCATCACTGTCAAGAGCCTTAAAGGTCTTGGCAATCTCAGCTTCTGCCATTTCTTTGTCAAGGGTCTTCAGGGCTGACTTGTACTCTTCCCTGCTGATCCTCCCATCTTTGTTGGTGTCAAATTTATCAAACACATATCTTATCTCCTCAGCTTTTGGCTGGGATGAAGGCCTTGACAAGCTAGACCTTTGCCTCTCTTTGGAGAAACTCAACTCGGGAGCTGGTTTATTTGGAGGCTTTCTAGGAGAGCCATATTGAAACCCGAGAAAGCTGAAACTACGTGACATAATTTTTTTCCAAATGGTTCCAAATTCTGATATGTTGATGGAGGCTACGTGCATTAACTAGTATCTTATATAAGCTCTCTGGATTTGTGTTGTTTGAGGTCTGATCCCTTAAGGAATAGTATAAAGATAGATTTTTACGCGCATTGTTCACATCAATTCTGATTCAAAGTTGAGGGGCAAAAAAAAGGAGCACATCTTGATATTGGTCCTTGTTTCTTATTCTTTTTCCACCCACATTCACTTTCCAAGTTCATTTGAAGAGAGAAAGAAGAACCAGATATGGACACATTACATATATTCTTACCAAGTTGTACATATCTTGTTGATTCCCACTCTCCTATATGATATGAACCCTAATTTTTGGTTCGCCATGACGCCACTAATAAAGTTGTATAGATTCTTGTGTTACTTGCGTGGAATCTTCTATAAGATGAAGAAGAAACATACACCACATTGGTAAAGGTTGCGGATCTAATATCGGTATAAGCAAATATTCTATCCCAAGAAAAAAAGAAAAATAAATCATATATGTAATGTCCAATACTTGAGTGACATATATTGAAGGGAGATATTGTAGATCTAGATCCAAAACGGTTAGTTGTCATTGGGTTTAGTCCTCACGGTTTTAGTTTTAGATGTAGGTCCTTTGACATTTATTACTTTTTTTGCTGTGTCGATTTTACCCCTTGAGGTGAATAAGGAAAACACATTGAAAATCTAAATTTAATACATTCTTTCCTTGTAATTGAATTCCAGAATTTAAATTTTGAATTCTTTCCTTTATAATATTCCTAATATATGGATAAAATACAATTTAATCAATACAAAGTAAAGACCCACAAATTATACCAATCGATCAGACAAGCACCCACATTAAATTATATACCTGACATACAGGTAAATAGTGTTATTATTAGTAATGAAAAATACTTAGTGATAAATCGTGTTACCTATAAGTTAGGAATATAAATTAGAAAACTACCTATAAGTCAGATAAAAAAATAGAGAAAATAAAATTGTATACTAACGCTGGTAGACTAGGCGTAGCTTAGAAGAGAAAAGCTCACCAAGTGGTTGAATGCTCACTTGTGATTTGCAACTTGATAAGGTGCATTTTTCGCCTCCAAACTACGTGTGATCCGTCAACAGCAGCATATGTTTCCTTTTATTTATTGATATATGCTTCACACATTAAAATTAGATCTTATTACCTTTTGTTTATTGGCCCTTTTTTTTTTTTTTCTCAAACCAAAATAGGATTGTCAATAATCGCATACTAAAATACAACATTATTATGACAAAACTCTAATTCAATCATACTTTAAAAAACTATCATACTAATGAAATGTACAATTATGGATATATGTGCATGATTACATATACTATTCTAACTATTTAACTATTGTTGAGGCCCAAAAAAGTCACGGTTCGGCCCAAATAAATTCTCGGCCCAATGCAATACCTTACCGAGAAGAAACTCGATTTGGGCACGCGAAAGTTCGTCATATGCGCTTGCACACGTGCCACGCCAAGCAAATAAGCAACATGCCACGCTACAAGCTTAAGTGGGCCCAAGCCACGCGAATGCCCGGGGCTTGCTAAGTGGGTTGTGATATGGATGGTTACGAGTATTCATGAGGCCCATTGATGAGCCGAGAAGTGGAAGTTTTGGGCTGCTTGGGAGCCCCAAAACTCAAGCCCATTTCTTGAGCCCAAATATATGGGTGAGCATAAAAGAGAGAATGTTAGCCCACTACCTTAGACAAATAGCCCATTACTTTAGGAAGTTGGCCCATCCCCTTAGTAGGCTAACTCATCACCTTAAGAAAGCCCAAGCAAACCAAGAAAATATCTACAAGCCTCCAGCACATGGCTGGAGACAAAAACAACGACAAAACCAAAGCTGTCCATATATGTAAGCTGCTGGGAACCTCCAGCACATGGCCAAAGACAAATCCCAACACAAGCCATCCAAAAAACCAAAGGATGCTTGAGCAAAACACCTTTCAAACCAGCGTGCATACCCATTTCTTTCTCCCTTTCAGATCTAGCCATAGAACAAGGGAGAAAAGAAGGAAGAAAGGTAGCTGAAAGTGGGCATCCTCCCCTGTGGCAGCTGCGGGAAAGGGCCTTGAGCTCCAAAAATCCCTGATTTTGTGCAAATAGACTGAGGAAATTTCACCAAGATGGGAAAAGTCAAGGGAGGAGAGAAGAAAGGAAGGGAGAGATTTGGCCAAAGTGGATAGGAAGCATTAGGGTTTCTTGGAAAATGTCAGCTTCCAGCGGCTATAAAAGGGGGCCTCTTCTACCCAACAAGCATCAACCACATCCAGAGAGCAAGCTTCCTCTCTTACTCCAAAAACCCAGCAATTTCGTGCTCAGCCCATCCTTTTTCCTTAGTTTTCCCTCTTGGCAAGCTGTTCTGACACTTGACAGTCTCTGTCAAGCTGCCGGAAAAAGCACTCAAGCCATCTTCTTCTCTCTTTCCCTCATTCTCAACCAAACCTCTCTGCAAAACCCTTTCTCTCCTACCTTAATACCCCATCTTTCCCCTAGGAACACTTAATTTTCTCTTTAGTGCTAAACTCATGGCAACTTGCTCCCATGCCACAAGCCTCTCATGCCAAGCTAGAAACTTTATCTGTAAATTGTTGTTAATTTTGTTGGTGAAGGTAACCAAGGAGTTTCCTTCACTACCCTTTCGAGACATTCTTGGGGCTTGATCTTCGAACTCAGACACAGGGGGATAATTTCACCAGTTTGCTCCTTACGGTGGCTCAGCCTATTTGCTGCTGCCAGAAGAAAAAGGACCCCTACAACTATATATAGTATGATTCATTTACAAATATAATTTTAAATTGATTATTCAATTATGTGTTTCTTTACATAATACAAAAGTTTAAATTGTATTTTTCTTTTTTATTTATTCATAATAAGCGATAGTTTTTATTGATAAACAAACAAAAGTACAAAGCAACTATGTACCGAATATGGGTAAATCTTCTTTAGTGACCAAACACAACAACATGCGGAATTGATTGGGATGCACAACCAAAAAATGACTAAAATCCCCGATTCAGCAACTAGAAGCACATGTACTCAAACTTGCAATTCAGATCCCCCGCACAACCGTAAAAACAACAAATCCTTATCGAAATCCAAAGCTAAATAAATATAAAACAAACCACAACAAACCCCTAGAGAGTTTCCTTAAAATTATTATACTTAAACAAACTAAGAAGAAGGATCATCGCTCCACATTCTCCCGAGGAACTCAAAGAGAGCCATAGCACCACAATGGCTAAAACCATAGTGCCGCACTGGCTAAACCCAAACTTGACATCTTCCTGGTATACACGGGCCAAAAGACAGTGACTATTTCATAGTGACGACAGTGTTTCATGGCGGCTGCTTCCACATCCCAAAACAAAAGAACAAACAAGAATTATGAGGGGGGGAAATGGGGAAGGAAGGGAAGGAGAGGAGAAGTAAAGGGAGGTGGGTAGGGAAGGAGGCCACCGACCCCTAGAGGAGGTGGTAGCGGGAATTTTCCTTTGGGATTTCTCATAGAGCGTTAAGAATTTTATCTTTTTAAATTGTATTTTGCTTTAAATAAATAAAAATGATAGTTGTTGAGGCCCAAAAAATCCAAGGTTGGGCCCAAATAAATTCCCGGCCCAGTACGACGCCTTATTAAGAAGAAACCCGGTGTGGGCATGCGAAAATTCGTCATACATGCTCGCACGAGTCATGATCCACGTGTCATGCCAAATAAGTATGTAATCCGTCACACTGAGAGTTGAAACGAGCCTATAAAATGCACTGGCTCTATGAACCCATGCTAATTATCCCGTCAAGCATCATATCCCTTTCCAAAGGCGATAAAATTCAAGCACGCCAATCGACACGCCATGCCAAGCGGAACATCATTATGTTACACCTAGCCACGCTACAAGCTTAAGTGTGCCCAAGCCACGCAAATGCCCGGGGCTTGCTGAGTGGGTTGTGGTATGGATGGTAACGAGCTTTCATGAGGCCTATTGATGAGCCGAGAAATGGAAGTTTTGGGTCGCTTGGGAGCCCCAAAACTCAAGCCCATTTCTTGAGCCCAAATATATGGGTAAGCATAAAAAAGAGAAAAAACCCAATACTCTAGAAAAAACTAGCCCAATACTCTAGGGAAATTAGCCTATCATTTTGATAAAACAGCCCATCACCTAAAAGAGATTAGCCCATTCTCTTAATTGGCTAACCCATTACTTTAGGAAATGGCCCAAGTGGCTTAGAAAATATCTAAAAAATCTCCAGCACATGGTTTGAAATGAAACCACGATAGAAAACCAAGAGATGTTTGTACGCTCAAACTCCAGCACATGTTAAAGGCAAACCCAACGCAAGCCATCAAAGAACCAAGGGATACTTGAGCAAAACACCCTTCATACCAGCCAAAGTTATCTATCTCCTTCCTTTACCAGACCTTGCCATGAAATAGGGGAGGAAAGAAGGAGAGGTGATAACCAAAGATAGGAAATCACCACTGAAGCAGCTGCGGGAAAAGCCTTAGAGCCCCCAAAAACCCTGTTTTGTGCGATTAGGCAGAGAGATTTTTACCAAAATAGGATGAGTCCAAAGGAGATAAGAGAAAGGAAAGGAGAGACTTGACAAAAATTAAGAGAACCCATTAGGGTTTCTTGAAAAAGGAGAGCTTCTAGTGGCTATAAAAGGGAGTGTCTCCTACCCATTAGAAACAACTTAATCGAAGGCAAGCAAACCAAACCCAGAGAGCAAGCATCATCTCTCACCTCTGGAACCCTTCAATTTCTAGCCACACCTCTCCATCTCCTCCAATTTCCTCTTCTAGCAAGCTATTCCAGATCTTGACAGACTTTTCGTCAAGCTGCTGGAAATTACTTAAACCACCCATCGTTCCTTCCCATCTCTCTTCCCCCTTAGCCAACCTTCTTAGAATCACTTCCCTTTCCTTAGAACCCCTGTTCCTCATAGGAATTCACAGCCTTCTCTATGTTTATGCTAAACTCATGATGGTTTTGCTCCCATGCCATAAGCTTCTCATGCCAAGCTAAAAATCTATCTGTAAGCAGACGTTGTTTTTGTTGGTGAAGGTAACCGGGGTGTTTCCTAAGGCTTCACCGTCCTTTCGAAGCATTCTCGAGGCTTGATCTTTAAACTCAGACACTAGGGGTAATTTCACCCATTTTCGCTCCTTACAGCAACCCAGCCCATTCGTCAGGCTGCTGGAACAAAAAGACCCCCACAATAGTTATATCTTAATAAAGTTTCAAAAATACTTTGTTTTTAAACATCTTGAAACTTGAATAATGAAGTTGTAGAAACACTTAACTAAACACATAATGGAGTGTCTATCATCATTTCGATAAAAAAAAAAACACATAACATGAACACTTGAGTAAAAAATTGAATAAGTTTAAATTTGAATACGAAGTTGCATAATCAATAACACTAATAAATGACATGATACAATTATTGTTACTACAAACATTAAGAAGCATTTTCAACCCAAAAAGAAGTTGAGGTTTCACCCCAAAATCAATTGGCAATGAGGAGAGTAACTCAACTACTTATAAGCCCTTGATAGGTGTATCAACTTTCTAATGTGGGACTCTTTACCTTCACATTCTCACACGCTCCGGCACGTGTGACGAATTTTCAAGCCTAACACATGGACAACACATATTGGGTGACGTGGAGCACGTGTGACTGTTGGGCTTTCACACGTGGGCTAACCTACTCTGATACCATGAAGGAAGTTGAGGTTCCCCCCCAAAACAAATTGGCAATGGGGGGAGTAACCCAACTCCTTATAAGCCCTTGCTAAGTTTATCAACTTTCCAATGTAGGACTCTTTATCTTCACATTCTCACATAACTTAGTGGAAAAAGACATTGACTTGCATATTAGTGATCTCAGGTTTAAACTCCCATCCCATGACATCATAGTAGTGTGTGTGTGAAACCCCCTACTCCTTTAATTTAGATTATAATTTGTACTAAAATAAAATAAAATAAAATTGCATAAACACATGCAACAATCATATATAAATACACATATCATGCAGAAAATAAATACTGAAACAAAATAAAAGTATCAACCACCCACACGTGTTAAGACTTAACAAAGACTTAAGATCATGAATGTAGAAGTCCAACAATACACATTAACAATTAAACAAATTGGAACTGCGTAAAAGTATGATTTGTAAGCGAATTTAAATAATATGGTTTTTCCTTAGTACCTTTTTTTGAAATAGTAAATTCAACTACTGTTGTAAAAAAAATAAAAAATAAAAAATCCTAGTTAGTATTTAATCCAAAAAATTTAATTCCTTTTTGACAAAAATAATTGAATTACTTCAACAACTAGGTTTTTTAAAATTATAAATCATAGAAAGATACAAAACATTAAATCGTTGGCAATGTTATGTTGTTAAATATGTGACATAACACCGTGAGTTTAACATATATAACACACATGTAAAACAAAAATTAACATAATTGACATTTTAGTAAAATAATATCTGAGAATGTTATGCAAGTGAATAATACCGTATATATCAGTTTTCTTTATTTAATAAACAAAGCCTTTTCTTTTCTTCTCGTTTTCTTTCTTTTCAGACGGAAACAAAACCCTAAAAAAACAAAATTTAACTAGAAAAAGAAAAACAAAACAATGACCGGGAGAGAAAAGACTGTGTACAAACTCCATCATTTGCCTAATTAATTAGCATAATTGCAGATATTAATCCCTCATTGGTCTCATCCTCTACATACTCCTCCACATTAGCACTAGTGAGCTCTTTGGATCTCTCCGCCTGAGCCGTCCAATCTGTCTTGATCAACACAATCACCATCAGAGCAAAGCAAACCAATTGGGCAGCCAGAAGGCCCAACCACAGGCCCAACAAGCCCAAATCCATCACAAACGCCATGAAAAGCGACACAGGCAGCCCAACAACATAAAACGAACCCAAATTTATAGCTGCACCCAAAGTTGGCCTTGCACTGCCTCTCAGCACACCACAAACGGTGGTCTGCGGGCAGTTCCCGAGCTCACACAACCCCACGATCGGCAGCGCCGAAGCCGTCAGCGATATAATGGCCCGATCGGCGGTGAAGATCGGCCCCCAAGCGTTGCGCATTGTCACCATGAACGTGGTTGATAAAAGTCCTGTGAGAACAGCACATGACAATGCAACAAATGATGACTTTTTAGCTTGCTTGGGGCGGTTGGCGCCTAACTCGTTCCCCACCCGAGTCGACACGGCTTGACTCAGCGCGAAGGGGAACTGGTAGGCGAATGCGGTGGCCTGGATCAAAATTCCCATGGTGGACACGGCCTCAGCTGCATTGCTGAGAAGGCCTGAGAGAATGATCATGATCTCGTACCACCACCACTCCAAGCACACAGAGAAGCAGCTGGGGATGGCTTGGCAAATAATGGGCTTCCAGTCTTTGAAGCAGAAATGGAGTGACCAGCCTTGCCATGTGTTTGTATAAATTCCCGAACCGCGTAAGTAGAGAATAAGGTAGAGGAGGATGATGAGGTCTGTTAAGGCCCCGGCAAGCGCGACACCGCGAATGCCGAGGTGGAAATGACAGGCCAGGAGGTAGTTGGCTGGCGTGTGAATGGCGAGGGCCAGTGCGGCGCTGAGCATTAAAGGGAGGGTGACCTGTTGGGTTCTGAGGTGGATTTTAAGGGGATTTATGAGGGACTGGAAGAAGAGAGTTGGGATTGTGAAGGTGAGGTAGGTTGTGGCTGTGGAGGAGATTGTTGGGTTTTGGCCTGAGAAGAGAAGGAAGGACTCACAGTTGAGCCACATGATGGAGATGGGGATGGAGATGAGGATGAGGATGGTGACTGTGCGCTGGAGGGTGTGTGACATGAGAGGCCATTGTTGGGCTCCAAAGGCTTGGGAGGAGATGGCTTCCATGCCAGAAGCGAGGCCAGAGAGGACGGAGTAGCCGCTGATGTTGGCCACACTGATTGCTAGGCTGCCTCCTGCTAATGCCCCCTTACCTAATCTGCCCAAGAAGAACATCGAAATCGCCGCTTTCGCGTACACCAGAAGGCCCGCCAGGATCATTGGCAGGGCTATGGTGTATAGCTGCTTGATCTCTTGAACAACCTGGTGATGAAATTATTAAATAAAATAATTAATTTAGAGATACACAAAAATACAAGGCGTACATGCAAATGTTGTATGAGAAAAAAACAAAGAGTTGTGGCGTCATAATGGACTGACCAGAGAAACAGCCGTGGGTTGGCGGTGCTGAGAATCTTGTCCACCTTCTTCATCATCCTTGACGGTGGTGTAGAACAGGTTTGATAAAATTGGAATATATAACCACGAAGCAGCATTAGCATTGTTGTACGACATCTCGTTGAATTGACAAAGCAAGAATTGGGTTTTCAGTGTTTTTGGAGATCTCAATGAGCAGATTGATGAAATGGGGAGAGGAGAGGAAAAGGGTTGATCTCTGTAGCTTCTCAGGAATTGGTAATGTAATCAGAGAAACAACCTTCCTTATTTTCTTCCTCTCAAAATAAATATGTTGCAAAACCAGGAAGACTAGACACGCAGATATATAAGCAAGGTTTTCACCATCTGTAAGTGCCTGGTAAATTTTTTTTCTTCTGTGCTGTAGAATTTCTACAGGCTTTGTCTTTGTACTGAGGGGTTAGTTAGGGTTTGGTGGTGAGAAATGGACGAGTGTGAGGAAGATGAAAATGGGGAAGAGGTGGCCATGAAGGTGGTTCGAATTCGTCGTTTTCTCCTCTCTGGATTTCTCAAAGGACTGAAATGTCTAGCTTTACATTAGATTGCACCACTCTAATAAAGTTGGTGGCAAACTGGCAATGCATCCAAATGCCAAAGCATGAAATTCTTGAATCGACTCAACATGAATGAATGTGATGACTAAGATGAGGATGCTAATTAGAAATTTAGGGACAAATTAACATCTTCTAATTTGGACTAAGATGTTATGAGTTGAGTTAACTGCTTGGGTCAAGATTAACAAATAAAGAAAATAAGGAAAAGATCTGCAACTTTTTTTCCTTCTGTGTAAAGATTTTTTGTTTGGGCTAATTAATGGGTAAAGATTTTGGAATCGTAATATTATAGGAGGATAATCTACATATGGTAGATATAGAATGTTTCCATATCAATGCCTGAATTCAAATTTCAAAATCCTTTTCTTGTTTGACATTATTTGGTAACCAAATAGTTGAGATTCAAGTATGTAAAATGCAACTAATTAATTATTGTGTTATTACTTTCCTCTCAACAAGAAAAACATAATATTTTCTAACTCAAATTTGAAAAATATTTTGCAAATTATAATTGTAATTTCTTTTCAAAATTCATATTTAAGAGTTCACGAGTTCTGGTTTGTTGTTGTGATAAGAAGTCATCATGAGTTTTATCAATACACTTAACTTTCTCAAATCACGACAAGATATACAGCAAGAATCGATACACAGTTAAACTTAAAACAATGAGCGAATCTCATTCTGATTGCAGAAAACGGGGTTGAAACAATTAATATCGCCTGACACAGAGAGATGTGGTCAACACAACTCGTAGTTAATGTGGTGAACGTGGCAATATTATTCTTACAACTGAGCGTCCGCGCATGCGCAAACGTCCGCACCTGCGCAAGTGATAATGTTCCATTTATCTTTTTTGTTTTTTGTCATTATATATTTTTCAAAATTTACTTTTTATTGAGAAACTAAGTAATCATGAGTACCTCTAGAGGAGTATTTAGAGTAACCTGCAGCAATCTTGCCACGCCTTCAATTAGAAGGGTTAAATCATCCTCAACCAAGGAGGATAAGAGCTATGATCATCACTACAAGAAAAAGACTTTTGGCAACAAATTTGCGACGAAGTGAGCTTTCGTTGAAAATTCTTAGTACAACCACACAACGACACATTGTGTCCGTCGCCTATAGTTTGGTCAAATTTGGGTAATCACCAATATAGTATTACTGTTTTTTCAAGTAAGACAAAAATACCCTAAATCCACTAAAAAGAATGTGCCACATCAACATAGGAGAGTACTTTTCTTCTCCAAGACTGAGCCGAACCCTCGAACTTAGTTTTTTTCTTTCTTTTTTTATTTTGTTTTTTAGTTAGAACTTAGGGTTTTTCATGCATGATAATATTATCCGGAAAATCTTTTTTTTTTTTTTTTCTGCTAACCTTTGCTATATAGCCTATAAACATGTCCTCTTTTTTCTTTTTTCTTTCTTTAAGAGACCATTGTTAGATTGTTTACGGAGATTTATTGGTTATCAAATTACTATTTAATTAGAGGGCTGCTAACATATACACAGTTAAGTTAAGGAGAAAACAATAATGGAAAACTCAGGTCACTTATATATATAAGCAAAGATACAGGAAGTTTATCTACTTTATTCTCACGTACACTCGGTTCCCAAACCATGCATTGACATGTATTTTAACTTTCTGATACGACAATACGTAATATATTTGGGATACCGCCACATTAACATCCCGGTTTACATTGAAGTTTTTCTTGACCATGAGACATAGAAAAGTCTATCTACTTTATTCTCAAGTATTCATTAATTTGAAAAGATATTTATAAGAAATAGAACAAGTAAGTCATCATGTTTTAGTATGTATAGTTAAATGGGTTCACCGGGAACTTGTTTTCTATTTCACATTAATCCTATATTAAAGGAAAATACTTCTCTCCTTATCATATAAGTAGGAGCTCCTATATTTCTACCAATAGCAATGTGATATGTGTGTAAAAGTTTTTATTTTCGTGTTTTTGATGAATTATTTTTGCATATATGTCAAACTGTGATTCACAGGAAGGAGGAGCAAAGGCGGAACTACGAAGGGGCTTGGCTGGGCTCTAGCCCAGGGCTGATTTTCCAACTTAGTCTTAAATGTATTAAAAAAAATAAAGTACCCTATAATTAAATATTAGCCCACCGTTTAACACACACAACGCATTTTCTTTTTCTCAGCCCACGAAGAGGACAAGGCCAGACAACAATTGGTCTTCGAGGGAGAGCGGGAAGAAGGATAAGAAGGAAGAGAAGAGAGAGCGATGGAAAAAAAATAGAAAAAAGAGAGAGATATGGAAGATGACGCAAAAGAGGGAGAAGAGAAAAAAATTGCAAAGACTGACAGAGGAAGAAGGAGGAAAAAAAGAAAGAGAGAGGGAGAGAAGAAGAAGGAAAAAAGAAATAAAAGAGAGAGGGAGAGATGGAAAGTGACGGAAGGAAGAAGATGGGAAAAAAGATAAAAAATGAAGGCGTTGGGAGAGATGAGATATGGGAAGAAGAAAATGAATAAAAATTAGAAAAGAAAAAAAAAGAGGTGTTGGTTTCGGTGCATCTTCAGATGCAAGTGCATGTTCTCTACATTTTTTTTTATAATATTCTAATTATATTTTAAATTTTTGGCAAGTTTACACAAGAAGTTTGTTTGCTGCAGTGGAAAGTGAGAATGATTTGACATGGAGGTCTTACGGTTCGAACTCCTTTGTTGCAAAATATTTTTGGAATATTTGGCTTGCCAGCAGTTTGGATTTCTATAATTTTTGGAAAAAGAAATTTTTTAGGTTTTTAAAATTTAACTAGCTGTTTTTCGGGCTTCTGCCCCCCTTAAAAAAAAATCTAGACAATTTGAAGCATGATATATTATATTATAAAAGAAGTTTTAAAAAAAAATTTAGCCTACCCCTAAAAAAATTCATGGTTCCGCCATTGAGGAGGAGTATCTACTTACAGGGTAAGTAGGCAGCAGTATCCATAGTTAAATGAGCATATTGTTTCAGGGAAAAGATGCTCCAAGCGCCTATTGTTTTGATGTGTAATGATGAACATAAAGAACGAGACAAATGCATACAACCTGAACAACAATGTCCTCTTTAATTATATATCTCTTTATTCTTTTTCTCTCCTGTTTGAGAATAAAAACTAACAGCAAAACAGATAAGAATTGTCATCAATTTCTACCATGGGCGAGCCTAAAACCAATGTTCTTTCTATGATCTCATCTCTTTCCTTTTGGAGCACTGCAGCCAGATGGCACCAAGCACAATCCAATTGCCACCATCTGCATTTCATATATGACTTTCAATTTCGTGTTGAAAAAAGCCACACGAAAAAAAGAACTTTCTGCCATGAATTGAAAAGCTTCAATTGTGTGGTTTATTGGGTAAACTCCACATGAGTCCCATAATATCTCCAGCCCACTCATGTGAAACCTTTGGAAAGGAATCGAGATTTATGTCATTTTCTTGTTAGAAAATTATAAGATGAGATTTAAAGGGCTGCAAACAAACAGATTGTTTGACGGAATCGAACAACATTTTAAAAAATTGATGTGCAGGGTTAATGTACATGAAAATCTCTGACAGAAAATAAAAAACATAAAACACTAAAACTGATAGTTTCGTGAACTCGAGCGCATTGTGATAGAAACCCTTTTCAAATTGAAAGCTTGGAAAGATGGATAATTCTTTAATTGGGCTACACAAGATGGACTCCTACTGGCCCAACTTCAAATAACTCCATAAATACACAGAAAAAGACCATGTCCAGGGTCACGGGGGTTTTTATCAGTATAAATTTTGATCTTTTTTGTCATGAACAAGATCAGTATAAATTTGATATGATTGAAATTTCCTCAAAACGCACCCAGATCACGTTCAAATGATTCAACCAAATACCAGAGCGAGTACAAGGGATCTCATCTGGTCCTTTAACATGTCCGCCGGCATAGCAGATCGTATGCCTTCATAAAATCTCAGAAATCTGCAATACCATGAATCATATATCATATCAAACTGAGTGTCCATCTATCTATCTTTTTATCTTTGTTTTGTTTTTGTTTTTTTATAGGAGATGAGGAAACTGAGTGTCTACGTATCAAACAGGATGACAAAATGAAATGAGGAAACATTGAGAAGGGGGTGAACTTACATTTATGGGCATCTCAGCTATGACCAGGTTGCTACTTTCTTCAATGCTTTTGAGAGTTACTACCTCACCCCCAACAACCATATTGATTACAATCCCATCTGCACATATTTTATGAAGTTATTGCAAGACCGGGGAATCCCATACTATGCAACTAACAAAGCAGTACAGCTAGGAAGAACCTGCAGCCAAACAAGTTGTCAACCGCCTCATATATGTTTCCTGCAGAAAATATTGTCGGGAAAGAAACAAAAACAAGAGAGAATAGAAGGAACGCATGAGAAATACATTAGTTACGGTAGCAAAGCAAACACATGCACCCAGGTGATTACTGTCAGAAAATAAAATCGGCAATGATCAGCGACCTTGAGGAATGAGGATGGCATATAACTAGTAACTCTAAAAGTA